CACACACACACACACACACACACACACACACACACACACACACACACAAAGCTTGGGCTGGGCTTCTGGGAAGACCCAGGCCTGCTGAGCCCGGCAGGTCAGCTAGGGTCCTGCCAGCAGCACTGGCTGAGGAGCTGGTGTGAAGCCCAGGTCCCCCCAGCCTGACCCCTCTATTAGAACAGCCATGGGAGGGTTGCAGTTTCTCTGCTGACTGGCTGGGTGTTGGTGATCTCTCATGAGGAAACTGGAAAAAGATGTGTTTCCAGAGGCAGTGGGGTAGAATGCGGGGAGGCAGGCTGTGAGGCCCAGCAGAGGCGCACAGGAGGGCAGCGGCCAGAAGCAGCAGGGACGGGGCGGAGGAGCCCCCCATACCTCCAGCCACCTTCTGTCCTGGGGGAGGACACCTCTCATGGCCCTACAGCCACTGCAAGCCACGCTCCCCTCCTCGGGGATGAGAGGGCTGCAGCGAGTGCTGGCAGTGATGCGAATTTGAAACGCTGCTGTGTGGAACATGGCCTGATGGAATGGACAGCTGGACCCTGGCAGGAGAGTGGGGAGGAGGCGAGGGGCCTAACAAGGGGCCCCAGGCTGCATTGGGACGCAGAAGGTGCCTGCCGGTGACCTCTGTGGCTTCAGCAGGTCATGCGCAGGCGGGCCAGCCCCTCCACCCCAGAGCCCTGACTCAGGACGTGGGTTCCTCCAGCTGTTCCTCAGCTGCAGCGACTGAGCTGTGGCATGTGAGATGCCCACGTGTGTTCACAAGTGTGTGGAGGTGCTGGGCACCCTCAGGCCGGCAGCTGTGTGAGCAGCCCCCCCCCACGCTGCCCGGGCCCGCCGGCACTGACCATCTTTTCGGTCTTGCTGAGGTTCACATCCTTCTTGCTCCGGCGGCGGACCTTGGCGTCCTCAATGTCCATGAGGCGGATGAGGGGCATGGTGCTGCCGCCCAGCAGAAGGATGGTGAACAGCACAATGACGATCGTGGTGGTGCCGATGAGCTGTCGCTTCTCCATGGGCTCCAGGTCCAGGTGCAGGCTCAGGGCGTAGGGGATGGCACCCCGCAGGCCTGAGGGGACAGCACAGGCATCAGGGGAAGGAACGTGGGAGGAGGCGGTAGCTTCCCTGGCTGGGTTCAGCCTTAGCATCATGGACACTAGGACAGACCTGTGGGGAGGCTGGGAGGGTGCAGAGGGCCGGCTGCAGAGTAGGGACAGCCTGAGTGGCCCATACCCATGGCCCAGACTGGCTGAGACATCTGTGAGCTGACCTGGCGCAGATACAGTGCACCTGGCACTTGTGGGGAGCCACTGAGCCTATGACTCAAGTGACAGCTGCTGTGGGCTGCGCAGTCCCGTGTGTGTGTGTGTGTGTGTGTGTGTGTGTGTGTGTGTGTGTGTGTGTGCGTGCGCGCCCGTGCACTCCGCATGCCGAGTGTCATCGATGGCCCCAGGGGAGGCCTGGTCAGTGGGACCTCGATGGAGCCCAAGGCCAGAGGAGAGGAGAGTCCCTTCAGCAAGGCACAGCCCAGAGGTCCAGCAGCAGGAAGCCACTGCCTGGTCAGTGAGGGAGGAGCCAGGCAGAACCTGGGGAGACCCACCCCAAGGGGAGAGGGGAGGGCCTGTAGAAGGAAGGTGGGAGAGGAGGGCAAGCCCAGGAGAGGCCAGGAAGGGGCTGACTGCTGGTCAGCAGGTCTGGCAGCAGGAGGTCACTGGGGACTTGGGCAAGGCCAGTTCTAGTGCAGCAGAAGGGAGGCGGTGACGTGGAGAAATCGAGTGAGGTCCACCCACCCAAGAGGTGTAGCTGTGACCCAAGGGACAGGCGAGCAGGAGCTGCTGGAGGGGATGGGGACAGGACTGTACTGAAGTAGCTGGATTTCTGCTGGGAAAGGACAGCATGATGATGAGAGGAGCTGGGAGGCGGAAAACCCCCGCAGGGGGCCCTGCCCCACCCGGGAGAGCCTCCCCTCTGACACCCGGCCCTGGGGCTCCCATCCACCTCTCTCCCCCAAGGGACTGACACCTCACTTAGATTTCCGGAGCGATTGTCAAGACCGTGGATCAACTACTTCACAGTACTTTTTTTTTTTCCTCATTAGCAAAAATGAGGAAAAAAATGAGTTTTTCTTACTCTCTCTCTATGTATATGTATATGTATATATACCCACACATATATAGTTTCACATAAATATATATCAAACACACTTTTTTCCCCCCTGGTACTGGGGTTTGAACTCAGGACCTGAACTCAGACGGCAGAATGACTGAGCTAAATCCCCAGCCCTAACTCACATATTTTTGAGACAAGCCTTTTTGCAAAGAGAAATCTGAGACAAATTTACAGATACACTTTGGAGAAAGAACATTATAAAGCATGTTGCTATGTTCAAACTCACATGAACTATTCCAATTATAATAGTTAAACAAGAAAGCATGAAGAACTCTACGTAGTCCTCAAAAATAAATTCAAAGCACTGCAGCTCAGAGGTACAGTGCCTGCCTGGAAAGCATGAGGCTCTTGAGTTCTATTCCCAACACCATAAATAAATATATACATAAATAAATTAATTAAAGATGACTAAGGATGCAGTTCTTTAGGACCCAAAGATTTATGGAATCATTTTCAAATTTGAAAAAGTAGAGAAATATGCTTGAACAGCAGCTGAAACATTTAAACTGTCAGACTTTTGTGACTGAAGAGAAAAAATACCCAACAGTAGCCCAGGGGCTTGGTGTGTGGCTCAGGGTAGAGTGCTTGCCTAACACTTGCGAGGCCCTGGGTTCCATCCCAGCACTGTAGAACCTAAAAGTTTCAACTTTCATCTCTTAAAATTTTGAGCCACTTATTACTTCAGCCTAAAAACCCCAGAAGGGAGGGCTGCACCGGCTGCCAAGGAAGAAAGGGGAGAAAGGGCAAGTCCCAGCTCTGCCTCCAGGGGCCACAGGAGCCAAGTACAGTGCCTGAGCTTCCTTGAGTGTGGCAGGTGTGGGCCGCCCTGCTCATCACACCGGCAGGGGCCTGGCTAAGTGACACCCCCCATCGAGAGCTTTACTGTTTTTGGCTCAGGAGGCAAACGTTCCCGAGGGTCACTCAGGCCCCTTCTGCACACTTCCTACTCCCAGCTCCCCGCCCTCCGTCTGCCTGGCCATGGCTCCACTCACCACTGAACCACATGATGAACATCATCTTCGGCGTGATCTTATGATCCCGGAAGAAATTTAGGAGGTAGGAAAGAGGGAAAATGTTGACCGCTCGGCCAAACAGCACGAGCACCTGTCAAGAGCAACACACTGTTAGCTGAAAACGTCCTGTCGGCTTCTCCAGCTGAAGCCTGTCAAGGCTGACGTGGACCAGGTGACTGGCCCATTATGACACGAAAGGCACGAGTAACACAGTGGCAGGAGAGACTCGGCCCCGTGTGCTTGGGGAGATGCTGGTTTATCTGTGTCCAGATAAAGCTCTGGGCATTGTTTTGGAAGAAAAGATCAACGCAGTAATGACACAGAATATGCAGGATGCCGAGGCCATGTAGAAACTGGGACAGCCGCACTAACCTCCCACCAGGCGGGTGCTGCAGGAAGAGGTCTTTCTCCTTTTTTTTCTTTTTTTTTTTTTTTTTTTTACCAGGGATTAAATTTGGAACCTTGCACTTATGAGGCAGGTGGTGGAACCAGAGAGCTAAATCCCCTGATTTCTGTGTACTGGGAACTGTGTTCCAAGAGGAGGCCCCGCACCCCTGGCCCAGCCAGTCGCCGCCATGCTTCCTGGTCCCTGCCATCTCTGCAGGGAAGTCAGGTGCGGCAGAAAAGGGCCTTCTGGGGATTTTTTTTTTTTTGTACCAGGGATTAAATTTGGAACCTTGCACTTATGAGGCAGGTGGTGGAACCAGAGAGCTAAATCCCCTGATTTCTGTGTACTGGGAACTGTGTTCCAAGAGGAGGCCCCGCACCCCTGGCCCAGCCAGTCGCCGCCATGCTTCCTGGTCCCTGCCATCTCTGCAGGGAAGTCAGGTGCGGCAGAAAAGGGCCTTCTGGGGGGATGGGTGCAGCTCAGTGGTGCAGCACTTGCCCGGCATGCACAGTCCCATGCTCAGCACCGCCAAAGGATCCAAAACGAAGTAGAGCTTTTATGTACAAAGTTTAAATCTCCCCCGGTGGAGGGTCAGAGCTATTCATTTACTTTCATTTCCATCTCGGTTCTCCCCGTAGCTAACTAGAAGAGGACAGACGCAGGCACATACTTTCCCCAAGTGTGAACAAGTGTGCCTTCCTTCAATGGTCAGGTTAGCAGCCGCTCCCATCAGCCAGCTCCTCTACGCCAGACAATGTGCCAAGCGTCTGACATCCTAAGTGGCTAAATTTAAATCCTCGCAATAGTTTTATTGTCTTTCCCTTTGTAGATAAAGAAATGGAGGCACAGAGAGGTGAAGTAACTGGTCCAAGACGACCAGCCGGGAAGAGGTGGATGCAAAATGGGCTCAGACCACAAGTGTGCTCCATAGGCCACTGAGCAGAATCTGCCTGGGGCTGGGCCCCAACGGCACCCCACGGGCGCCTCCTCACCTACAAGCCAGCTGCACTTGGTGGCGCAGGGGAGCTGCGTGACTGCCTGTGGCCGAGACAGCTCTTCTATTTTGCCCACTGAAATCCGGTCTCCATTCCTACATTTGGGTTTCAGCTCCCACCCAACGCGGCCCCTTCCACGAAGTGACCACACTAAGGACCGTCAGGCGCTCTGTAAAGACTTCTGCTGCTGCTCTCCTGTCCCAAAACCCGAGTGTGGGGACAGATGGCTGTGACACACAGCGGTGAATTGTTGCGGGCCGGAGGTGGAGGCACCCAGATGGCTGAGTGAGCGTCTTCAGCGTCTGCATGTGGTTCACCTGTCTGGCACCTGGCAGGGTGACAGTGCTTCAGAAGGAAGTTCGATCCCGAGTAGCTGTGTTCTGACAGGTGGCGGAGGTGAGTTCCGCCAGTAAGGTTTGCCTCACCGCAGGGCAGAACAGGAGCTAAGGGGTCAAGTTACGTTAGCCAGTGTGTGAGTCGCAGTGGGCCTGTGCAGCCGAGCTCAGGAGGAGGGGACAGGGCCAGGGCAGATGAGGCGCCAAGGCCAGATGTCATTAATGTCACTGGATTAGACACTCCAGGGAGCTGACCTCTCTTTTACATGCTGAACACTTATTTCTCCCATTTCATTCCCAAAAAGGATTTGATTCTGCTGCAGATGATTACATTTTCGATTGGTTTCCCACTGTTACCACCAGTCTAGGGGGAACCTTGTTTCCCAAATCCTGATCACCAGAATCACCAGAGCTGCTTCCCCTGCGACTCTTGACTTGGACCCAGCACCCGTGGTCACGTGTGAGTCACATGAGTAAGCATATTCATTATAAATTAGCCACAGAAAGTAGGCAAGAACAAAATAATCTCCAGTTTTACAACCTCCGGGAACATCTGGCAGTATTTTTTTCTACATACAATATTTTTACCTGATTATAATTGTTAATCAATTTTGAAATTTGCTTTTACCATTGAACCAACCAACCAAACCACAGAAACTTACTATCACATTGAAGATCACTGAAAATTAAAAAACACAGTCCTTTTCGATTCACTTAATTCATTTGCTTAATTACACCCCTTACCTCCTTATTATATGTCTGTGATTTTTTTTAACAAAAGAGACTTTAAACAGAAAATGTCTATGTAGCTGTTGACTCTGAACAGTTAACAGTTACATAAATGAATCCAAAATGTGGTTATTGATCTACAAATAAGCAATAAATAAAAAAACAAGGAAAATACTTACTATGCACCAGATGACAAAGGAAATTTCAAACTTGTGAGGGAAACTAAAAATGGACAGGCCAAGAAATGCAAACACACATGTTTCTGAAACAAACCAAAGAATGGATTATTCAGCCCCAACCACAATACACTGCTAAACTGTAAAGCAAGCAAACATTCACATGTCCCAATCCAATATAACACTATTTTTGGAAAAATTCTGTAACCAGTACTTTGGGCAAACTTTGTACTTAGATATTCACTCCCCCCGCTGTCCACCACTATTCAGCATTCCCCAATGTAATGAGTCAACAACTGTCCATTACTTCCTCAGATAAACACTGGTCCACCCTGGGAAGATGATAAACATAGGAATCTCTCCATTTGCTGAACACTGTGATTAGCCAGGATCCCAACAGGGGCAAAGTGGCAAAAATTCAAGCAAATGAGGCAGGCGCCACACGACAAGTACGAAAGGGCCTTCTGTTAAGTTCCCCGTCAGCCAGTGCAGAGAAAGCCAAACCACTGACTCACACAGTTAACAAGACACTGCTCGGGTTAGAGTGCAGGGCGCAGTTCAAGCAGGAGGAGACCCAATTCCAACTCTGTGCTCTGCTCTGAAAACCAAAGGAGCCAGACACCGACTGGGGGCTTCCGTGCATATTTTAAGAAAAAGCAGCCTATAAATGTCTAGGCTCCCTGCCTAGGTGTCCCCCAGAACAGCCCAATAATCAGAGATACAGACTGTGTATTTTAAAATAGTTGAACATCATAAAACAAGTGGGCTTGTTTAAAACATTTCAGCAATGTTTTTTTCTTAAAATGTGTATCTTTTTAATAACAAGTGACAGTATGTCTTTCCCCTCCTTGAAATTTTTTTATTTTAAACATTTTCGTGATCAATTCCAGTGCATGTAGAACACATTCACATCTAATTTGTGCTTTTCCCTGACAAGTATAAATTCTAGTATATGGGAATATACTTTGGTTATTATTATTTTTGTTGTTGTTGTTTGGTACCAGGGATCAAACTCGGGTCCTTGGGCTTTCGAGGCAGGCAGTGGAACCACTGAGCTAAATCCCCAGCCCGATTTATTATTATTTTTGGCGGGGTGGGGTACCAGGGATTGAACTTGGGTCCTTGTGCTTGCAAGGAAGGTGGCAGAACCACTGAGCTAAATCCCGGCCCTAAGTATTATTTTTGAGACACAGTCTCACTAAGTCACTATGTTGCCCAGCTGGGCTCAAACTTGTAATCCTTCTGCTTCAGCTTCCTAGGGTGCTGGGATCATTCTCTGTGGAGCAATGTCTCAACTATGCAGACAGATGCTACAAATGAGTCTCTAAAAGAGAGGGCCCAATGCAAACACACACTTGCTCCCTGGGCCTGGTTTCTAGTGCTCATGACAGAACTAAGTACTCCCAACCTAGAGATTTCCCAATTTGACTGATGGGTACAAAACAGAATTTTGGTGGTTTTCTTTTTTTGTTTTGTTTTGTTTGTTTGTTTGTTTGTTTTTGAGACAGGGTCTCACTATGTAGTTGAGAATGACCTGGAACTCACTTTGTAGCCCAGGCTGGTCTCGAACTCACAGTGATCCTCCTGCCTCAGCCTCTGGAGTGCTGGGATTACAGGCGTGAGCCACCATACCCAGCTTTGTGGTTTTTGTTTTGAGACAGGATCTTGCTCTTTCTTTCAAATTCGCCTGGAACTTGCTATGTAGCCCAGGCTGGCCTTGATTTTATAGTGATCCTTCTGTCTCAGCCTCCTGGGTGCTGGGATTACAAGCATGTGCCACCACACCTAGTTTACAAAACAGAATTTGATGGGTATTTTACTTTTGGTTCTTTTACCTGTGAGGGCCAGGGTCAGAATCTTTAGGCTTGGCTTTTGGAGGGTGCAGTGGAGTAAACACAGCAGTGACACAAGAGGCCTGGCTTCTAGACCCCTGCCAGTGCTGAGCCATCTGACCTTCCTCACCTGAGCCCGCTTTCTCTGCAACGCCAGCACCTCCCTTCTGGCAAGTGACACAGTGGTACCAGGGCTTCAAAAGGAGATAAAGCCCAGAAACAGGGACTGCTGGCAATGGCAGTTTAAAGGGACAGTGTGAGGGTAACGCCTTTGCTCCAGGTTGGAATGGGGAGGAGACTCCAGGGGAGGCTGGGGAGGGGACAAGAGCTCCGAACTGCCACTGCCTAACTGAAGGCTCCCTGAGGTCTATCCCAGTGAATCCCTAGCCTTGCCCTCGGATGCTCTTGTCAGGGCTCTGAGGACACATCTGGGCAATGCTGGACAACTGTCCCCCTCTGACACTCACAACGGTGAAAAGACCTGCAGTCAGAACCTGTTGAATATTAACCCAGGATTTCCTCCATTCCTTTGTCACCTAGCCTTCATCAGTATCACTTCCAAGGAGTACAGTTTTGGAAACGTCACTTTCCTACATTAGAAAGATGTCTGAAATGTGCATTGCTAGTAGTTCGCATCATTTTTGGTCTTAACATTGTTGGCATCAAATGTCCCATGTATCAGGTGTTACGCCTACTTCACAGAACTGCAAAGCCAGAGGGACAAGCACCGGGTAAGGTCCGGCTGTCCTGCTCCCAGGGGATACCTCAGCAGACCTCTGCAGCAGGCAGGAAGCCAGTTGGCTCTGGGTGGGCACACTATCGGGGACACTGAAGCTCGACTCACCGCACAAGAAGGCCACAGTCCGGAGGGTTTGCTGCATGAGGATCTGGGTGACCGGGGAGAGGTTGTGGTGTGTGTAGTGTGACATCACGATGCCTGAGAACAGGATGGCCATGATGCCTGCAGGGGGAGAGGGGCAGAGCACACAGAAGAGCGCTTACTTGCCACACCCACACTCCTTCAAGTCCCTGGAGCCCTGATCCTGGGGGTTTAGGAAGAAAGAAAAGAAATCTGAGGCTTCCCAGAGGTACAGAAAGGTAACAAGGGCCCGGACTTGCTCCGGTACCAGCAGGGTGACCGTGGGCAACCTGCCTCCCCTCACCAAGCCCGCTTCCTCATGTTGGGAGTGTCAGTAAGGACAGGCCATGTGAAGTGGCTGTCACAGGGCCAGGGCTGAGCTGTGTCCCCATCACTGCTGTCCTTGGGTGTAAGGAGCAGTGAAGCAATGGGGACAGCAGGGAGCAGGCCTAGGAATCTGGGCATGGAGAATGGCAGACTCTAACGGATTTTCCTTTTTTCTTTTTCTTGGTGGTACCAAGGCTTCTGCACTGAGCTGCACCGAGCTGCACCAGCCCTTTTTATGTCTTTTGAGACAGGGTTCCATTAATTTGCTAAGTTACTTGTGAACCTTCTGCCTCAGCCTCTCCGAGTGCTGGGCATGTGCCATCACACCTGGCTTCATGCTTCTACAAGACTTTCCCTTGATTTTTCCAATTAATCCTCATAATTCACTGCTCCAAGTCTAAATGGCAATGAAAAGATACCCTGGTACGTTCTTGAGGGCCGAGTCAAACCATACTCTTGTTAGTTGCCTAATAACCAACATATTTTTCTGCAAACATTCAGACATAGAGTGAAAGTGAATTCTCAGCGGTAACTCTTATCAACACCTCCAAGTGCAGACTCCCATCCTTTCACTATGTGATGATAAAGTTTACCCGTCTTTAAAACAGGGTCATAGTACACAGCAGCAGAGTGATTTTTTTCAAAGACTTTTGACTCTCACCTTTTCTAGAACAGAATCCAAATTCCTCCCCAGGCCCACAGAGCCCTGTGCGCTGAGGTCCTGGCTGTCTCCCCGCATCATGGGGCCTGCCCAGCTCCACTCGCCTCCCCACGGCCCTGGGCACCTGCTGCCCGCACCGGCTCCCACGCTGACACCTCACACTGCACAGGTCTGGGCTCTCGTGCCAACACCTTTCTGCCTGCCAGCTCTGGGTGCTTCCTCTGCCCTCCCACCCTGGCACATCACTGCTTTTGTCTCTCCAAGTCATTTCTCACCGTGCACGGTCACTGGCTGTTCCTTACATACTCACTTTCTTCTGCAGGCAGGAACCTGATCTGGTCTTGGTCACTACTGCAGCCCCGACAGCAAGGACAGTTCTCAGCACAGGGCAGACATTTAATAAGTATTTACTGAATGGACGGACGAATAGGTTAGCTTACTTTCTGAAAATGTAACAGTGTATAACAGTGTGTCTTGGGATTCTTCCCATGGTAGGGCCTCACTGAGGCTAGGCAAGCCCTCTACCACTGTGAGGCCCTGCCACGGGAAGGATCCCAAGACACACTTAAATACACCCAGCCCTCAAGTTCACCTGTTTGTTTGTTTCTTTGGTACCAGGGATCGAACTCGGGACCTTGTGCTTGTGAGGCAGGTGGCGGAACCTGAGCTACATCTCCAGCCCTCCAGTTCACTGTTTATGTGGCTGCATAGCTGCCACAGTGAAGACAGACTGGAGCCTGATCTTTCTCATTACTGGAGAACGTTCAGGTGCCTGCAATTCACCTCTTACACAGTGCAGCAGTGGCATTCCCTGGACATACACGGTGCAGACCAAGACTGTACAGTTCAGTTCCTCTTTGGCCAACACGGTGCTGACACTTTCAGAAAGTATTACACCCTGCAGTCCCTGCCCAGGCCATCCTCTCACCCACAATGCGCGCCTTCCTTTGTGACTCATCCTGACACCTTCTCTAGCCCCGGTCCAGCTTTTGCTAGGCTGTGTCTGTCTAAAGGGAAGGGCGTAGCCCATTCACCTTTGAATCTTCATAACCAGAGGGCACAGAGGCCCTAAAACCTAGCTTGAATGAACAGTAAAACTGGTTAACATGTCAGGTTTGGTGCCACACACCTATAATTGCAGCACTCAGAGAGGCTGAGACAGGAAGACCCCAAGTTTCAGCCCAGCCTCTGCAATTTAATCACTTAGTGAGACCCTGTCTCGAAAAATAAAAAGAGGTCGATGATGTAGCTCAGTCTATCAATGTGAAGGCCCTGGGCTCAACCACCAGGGCTAGAAAAAAAAGTTCATGCTGACATAATTAGAACAAAGATTCTGAGAATAGACAACATGGAGTGATTAACCAGGAAGACTATCTCACTTGCTATCTAAACCACAAAGTTTTTGAAGGGGTTGTTACTAATTCATCATGTTGGCACAACAGGGACACCTGTGGGACTCAGGGCAAGCCAGGCAGTAAGGCTGGCAATAATACCCCTTCTGCCTGGATGTGCTCTGGGCTGGCTCTGATATTACATCTTTCTTTTTTCATTTTTTGGTACCAGGGATCGAATCTGGGACCATGTGCTTGCAAGGCAGGCGGCAGAACCTCTGAGCTAAATCCCCAGGCTAACATTAGATCTTCACTTTGGGGAAGCAGAAGCTCAGAGCAGGCCGAGGACACAGTGACTGGGAGGCAGGACTGGGACAGAAACCAGTCAGAGCCCTAAGCCTTATCCGCTGTGCTCCAAACATGTGGGCTTAGGTAAACCGTTCGCAATTCCTAGGAAGAGAGGTCCTGCCACCCACCGTCAGTCCCTGTGACAGTTAGGGACAAAAAGGCACAAACGGGAAGGGGAACACAGCAAGACTGCCACCCTTTCCTGTTGTGCTCCTGCCGAACAATCTGGAGGCTTCCCCACTATACGAGAGGCGGTGCAGCCCCTCTAAAATCCCTGAGTGACCAGTACCGCAGGTGGCGAGTCGGCAGAGCTGTCCTTCCCTGGCTGAGGCACATGTGCCGAGGCAGCACAGCTCTCTGGCCCTAACAGCTTGAGCAGCAAACCCCTCCACACAGAAAACACTGCGGCTTGGAAGAAAAGTAAAGAAAAGAAAAACACTCATTTGTTTTAGTCACAAGTTCCAAACAGATGGATGAAATCTCTCTGCTAACAGGTGCTCAATGCTAATCTTGAGGGGGTGGAGGAACAATTTAGAAAAACAGAGGCAGAAATAGCTAAGCTACAGCCCAGTGACTCTTGGGTAATGTTTCTGTAAGCACCAAAACCGAGTAAAGGTGAGATAGGAAACCCGATGGCAGATACCAGGATGAAATTATCCTTGTGAGCTGGCTCAGGATTAAGAACAAAAGCCCAAGGTTTATGAGGTCTCCAGGGAAAATGGCAGAAGCCCGCCTGCTTCCTGCTCGGCAAGATGTGCCCAGAGAGCAATGCAGCTGGCTCCAGAGAACGGGCTGTGGGGACCGCACCTCACGAGTCACCACAAACCACTGGGTTCCACTCTGCCCACGAAGAGTGACTGCGGTACCACTGCTGTCCGGCACAAGCAGAGCCTGAAACGCGGTTTTCAACCGAACTGTCTTCTGATCCTGTATAAAAGGCAGTGCAGGACTGCCCTTCCTAGCAGGGCACAGGGTGGCCTCCTGTCCCCAGGCCCCCGCCCATGCTTCCTGCCTGGAAGTAAACCCCAGCTGGGAGGTTGGGGGAGGCAAACCCACAGCCGGGCAGTCTGTCTGGATGTGGAGAAACCAGGAGGGAAGCAGAGCCGGGCAGTTGTGCAGAAAGAGCTCTGCATTCACCATGAAATCCCCTGAAAGCTTGGGTGCCTCGTGATCTGCACCAGAGGAAATTCCAAGCGGCTGGGGAAAGAACCGCTAAGAAGTAGGTCCAGCAATTCCGGAAGCTGACATGGGACAGCCCAGGCCCCAGCAGTGACCTCACAGGACATGGGGGAGGGCCCTCAGCAGTCTACTGGGGACCCGCAGAGTATGACAGCCATTGCCAAGAGGACCAAATGGATCCCAAGAGACTTAGCTATGTACCAGGAGAAAAGCCCGAACTGTATAAAGGAAGACATAAAGTTCACGGTGACTGGCATCCAATCAAAAATTAACAGCAAGCAGGGCCGGGGATTTAGTTCAGTGGTTCCACCGCCTGCCTTGCAAGCACAAAGTCCTGAGTTCGATTCCCAGTACAAAAAAAAAAATTAACAGCAAGCGAAGGACAGGAAGACATGACGTATAAGCAGGACCTAGACTGGACAGAGGTGAGGGCATTAGCCAGCAAGGACCTTCAAATGGCTCTTCTAACCACGCTTCATGTGCTCAGGAACGTAGAGAAGGACAAGGACAGGGACAGGGACAGGGACAGGGACAGGAGGAAGGGAGAAACAAAGGGAACATCTGTAGATGACGTAACACAGTATCCAAAATGAGAAGTACAGGAAATTCCACAGGGAAGAGTGAACTTGAAGACACACTCATAGAAGCTAACAAAAACAAGGCATACAGAAAACAAAGAAGAAAATAAAATGATCGCGGGCAGTAGAATGCTGTTTACTACAGCTGGGGCCCAACAGGGAAGCAGAGGGAGAACTGAAAAACATACGTAAATAAATGGGTAAATTTACTAAATTTGATGAAGCTATGTACTCATATAAATATAAAAACAAAAAGCACAAAGCCGGGCATGGTGGTGCACACCTGTAATCCTAGCACTCAGGAGGCTGAGGCAGGAGGATTGCTGTGAGTTCGAGACCAGCCTGGGCTACATAGTGAGTTCCAGGTCAGTCTCAACTATATAGTGAGACCCTGTCTCAAAAAACCAAAAAAAAGAAAGCACAATGGCTTCTAAGCAAAATATAAAGAGGCTCATACGAGAGTACATTTAAATAGAACTGCTATACAACTGCCAGGATGGCTAAACTTTAAAAAAATTAAAACAGTGGTGCAAAGCAACTGGATTGCTCTCATATCCTGGTGGAACAGAAAAATGACAGTCACTTTGAAACGCACTTGGCAGTTCCTAATGAAGTATGAATTTACCAAATGACCCAGCAACCTAATGCTGAGGCATCTGCCCAAGACAAACGAAAACATACAAATGTTCACAGTCCAAAGGTCCTTCAGAGGGACGGGGAGGGAGACTGGAAGGCAGAAGGGATGTACAGACTATGGTATGCGCAGACACATAAACATCCTGAAAAACATAATTAAAGGAACGAGACACTAGGACTACCCATTCCAGGGAAACCGCGGTGAGAACGCAGGTCAGCAGGCACATGAGGTAGGGGTGAGGGAGCGCTCCACGTCTTGGCTGTGGTGGCTACACGACTGCATGTATTTGTCCCAACCTGAAGAACTATATACTTACAATGGGTGTTGGTTACTATAGGCAAATTATATCTTAACAAAGATGAAAATAAAGAAAAAGGAAAAACCTTCCTGTGGCAGAGATCAAAGTAGCTGCTCAATGGTGCCATCTTTCGGAACTCAGCCTGTGTGGGGCCTTCACTCGAAGATGGGATCATGGTGTCCCCAGTGGAGACCTCTCCCCTCGGGGGCACCCCCCACACGTACAAGGAAGGAGGGTCACGCCCCCGCCGCCCATTTCCGGGTCAGCGCCTGTACAACCTGACTGTGGACTCAGGCTCAGTCTCACTTGGGGCAGGAGCCCGACCATGCCACGCCTTGTGGGCAAGGGCCACGAGGGACCCAGGGTGGGGATGGCACTAGGACCTCTGATGAGTGCTGCCCTGCAGCTGTGAGCACCGCCTTCCAGGGTCCCTGGTTGTGGGAACCGCATGCCTTCCTCCCTTGGGGTGCAGGGAGAAGGCGTGGAGTCAAGATTGTCTTTGTGTGAATCTCAGAGCCACCACTTACTACCTGTGCAGCCTTGAGCTGGTGACTGCCTCAGCCCCTCCTGCCTACTCCATGAGGTGGCGGGAACAGTTCAAACAGATGCAAGCTGGGCACAGCAGCACATACTATTCTGTCTCGAAAAACAAGACAGAGGGCCAGGGATTTAGCTCAGTGGTTCCCTAGCCTGCCTTGCAAGCTCAAGGACCCGAGTTCAATCCCCGGTATCAAAAAAAAAGAAAAACAAGACAGAACGAAACCTTAATACAGGTTTACTGTGACGAGAAATCCCAATAAGGTATCACCACACCATGGGCACTACTGTCCCCTAACGAGCCCATCTTGGTTTCCAATGATCTGTCCAGAGGGAGCATGATGAGCATTCATTCTTTCGTTTAGCTTTTCTTTTCTTTTTTGGTACCGGGGATGGAACTCCGGACCTTGTGACTGCAAGGCAGATGACGGCACCCCTGAGCTATATCGCTGGTCCCTCATTTGGCTTTTCTGCGGTGGACTCTCACCAAACTGTCCAAGCTGGCTTCGAATTTGTAATCCTCCTAGCTCGGCCTCCCAAGTAGCTGAGACCACAGGTATGCGACACTGCACCTGGCTTGAGTGTCACATTTTTGTTTTGTTTTGCTTTGGGGATAGGTCTGCTGGCTATGTAGTCAGGCCAGCCTTGAACCTGCTATGTAGCCCAGCATGGTCTTGAACTCTATCCTCCTGGCTCTGCCTTCCCGGTGCTGGGATTACAGGTGTGCACCGCCTCATGTGGGGCAATCATCAGTTTTTTTAATTTGTTGTTTTTGAGGCAGGGTCTCACTATGTAGTTCAGTCTAATCCTGTCTCAGCCTCCTGAGTGCTGGGATTATAGCCATGTAGCACTACACTGGGCCCAAGCCTCGGTTCTTGAGTCAGGACAACCATCTGTGAGTAGTTCTTCCATCAGTCCCAGCTAGCACCCTGGGTCTATGTACTAATCTCTCTCAACCTCAGGTTTTCTCATCAGTAAAACAGAAATCTTTTAGAGTATTTCCTTCCCAGGTGCTTCCTACTTCAAACGGGACCTTATATGGTGGATGAGGATCAATGACAGAGAGAAAAGAACTGGGGCTGTGACACCAGTGTGACTCTTTGAGCCCCTAGATCCAGGCAGGACTGAACCCAGAGTATTATCCCCTGGGAATCAATGAATCCTATTATAACCTAGGTTCTTCTGAGATGTGACTCACCTCTCAGGACACAAAGTGACCCGACTGACCAAAGCTCTTTCACCAGGCAGGACAATAAGCCACTGTCACACTGTATCTGGGCCTCTCGCTCACCTGAGAGAGAGATTCCTTCTGCGAGCCCATATGGCAGATAGGCAAAAATGATCATCATGCCGAACTCCAAGGAAGGCGTTTTCCTCAAGTCAATGTGCTTTAACACGTAAATGGCAACTGTCAAGGAAGAAGGCTCTGGGGCACCTGAGGTGAGATGCAGAGATGTCACCAAGCTGCTGCTTCCAAATATACAAACAAATACAAAAGACTGAACATTTCAAGGTTCAACTGCAAATTATTATAGAGATTTTCCTTTGTAAAGAGACTGATATATATCTATTCCTTGAAAGGGAATCTGACAAAACACTAAGGAATTCCTGAGACAAACCGTGGGGCGGGGGTGAAAAATCAGCCTAAGTTGTGTCCTTGACAAATGTGGACCTACATGTGGGCTAAGGATGAGTCAGTGCTATAGCCCTTGCCTAGCGCTTGAGAGGCCCAGGGTTCCATCCCCAGGACTGAAGGAAAAACCAAAGCCAGTGCAGAGGGCGGGGATGTGCCCCAGGGCTACAGACGTGCTGGGAATGGCCCACACTGCTAGGTCCTCTCCCACTACCTCCCAGGACACCAGAAGAGATCACGTGGGGCAGCCACCACGATGCCTTGCGGGGACCCAGTGCCCTGCTGCGGGCCGTTTCTACTCTCAGGGCCCTGTGAAGCAGGCTGTGTACACTCAGACACTGCTCACAAAGCCCGTTCTGGAGTCAGAGTCCCCACTTGCTTGGCTTCATGACAATACGGGCTTTCTGAAATAGATAAATATGGAGGAAAACACTGAATTGGAAGTTTCCTCTCCTTTTCCATTCTGTTTATTGGTACAATATGAGAAGCTGTCAGCCAACTCAATAGAGCGTTTAACTTCTGGACAAAGGAGCTGATGGGAAAATTAACAGGATGGCACAAAAACACGCCTGTAGCCAGCAAAGCCTTTTCCGGCCATCTGCGAGGCAAACTGCTCTCAGAGGATGGCCAGGCGGCTGTGTCCTGGGGACGCAGCCCAGGCGTGTACACAAGTGGTCTGGTGCCTGTCCCTATTTTAAATGGCAGTAAAGGTGTCATTGCCTTAACAAGCCTTTCCTTCCCTGGCTGGAAAAGCTCATCATAGATTAAGCAATAACTACATTAAAAATAGATTAATCTGCAAATAACTTTATTGGAGCTCACTCTGGAAGCCCCTTTTCTAATTATTCCATATAATCATGTGCAGTGGGATAAAGACTTTCTTTTTTCAATTTCATTTTCAAAGAAAATTTCCAGTTCTCTGAATGTGCAAAGAGACAGCAGAAAAGGAAAGCGTGTGAATACGGTGACTGCCCTCTTGTAACTGAGAAGTCCCCAAGTCACGCCTCATATCCACCAGTCCATGTGCCCTGCAAGCTTTGAAAAGTGACAGGATACATTTCATAGGCTCAATTTAAAAATCCTTGCCAGGTGTGGTGGCACACGCCTATAATCAGGCAGGAGGATCACTGCAAATTCTAGACCAGCCTGGGCTACACAGTGAGTTCCAGGTCAGTCTCAACTACACAGTGAGAACCTGTCTCAACCAGCCTGGGCTACACAGTGAGTTCCAGGTCAGTCTCAACTACACAGTGAGAACCTGTCTCAAAAAAAAAGGAAAAAAAAAAAATCCTCGAGTTTGGAGTGTTTCTCACACAGAACTCAGCATAAAAATCTTCCTTTAAACAAAACCTCAGATTAAAATTGGGCCCCCGGAACCTCCTCCACGCCACGCGTTCACCACATGAAAAGGATATTAATGCAGAAATTAAGCCAGTCAGAGTGCCGAGTGCCGCAGAGCCAAAGAACATTTTGAGGAAGTAGCCAAGGGCTTGGAAAAACGTCTGCCACCCACTGACATCTGACATATTTTTTCTTGTCAAACCTTCAGCTGTGCTAGGAAACAGAGAACAGAAAGAAGTTAAAATGTTACAGACAAGTTCTCCGGCATTAATTTGTGAAAAGCTTCTTTCTTGTTTATTCACTCCTGTTCATTCCATCATTCAGTCAGTCAAGTGTTTATTTGCTCACTTACTTTGTCCCAGGTACTATGTTAGTTTCCTGGGGCTCAGAGATGAGAGCGGAGTCCGTACCCTGAAAGAGCTCCCCTAAGACTAATGAGGGAGAAAAGCAGGATGAGGGTAATGCCAATCCGGGGAGGAACATATGCAAAAGCAGGAAGCCAGGGTGCCAGGGAGTCCAAGCACAAGGCCCACATCAGGGGAACATCCGCACACACAGGGGTTAGTGCAGCTGAAACACGGAGCAGGATGGAGGGACGGTGGCAGGGCTGGGTGGTGCTGGTGATTCACCCCGAGGGCCAGGAGCCAGTGGGCAGTGGTCTCAGTAGAGGGAGCCAATGGTAAAATCTGAGGCTGAAGGCCTGGCTACAAGTCCAGGGGAAGCAGCATCGGGAGTCTGGCTAAGAGGGAGGAGTTGGGGTATTAAGGTGGAAGAACTGCAAGAACTTTCTGCCGTAAACATCCTCCTCCTACTCGGTCCTCTCCTGTTCATGTATCTCCCCCAGCCAGTTCTCAGCTCTCAACTGTGTCCAAGTCTCTCCCTCTCCCACAATCCCCCAGTCCGGGCAGTGCCTGCTGACCGTGCTATGGTCACCCCTGTTTTGCTGCCCCATGGGGTCTACACTCAGCAGCCCGAGTGACCCCTTTAAAATCACACCTGGCCTGTTACTGGCCTGCTCCACACCCTCGGCAGTTTGATACGGCCCTAGGAGGAAGCCGTCTTAGCACGACCTGGCTCCCTCACCTCTCTGACCGCCCCTCTCAGGGTGGGGCCGTGGTCCCTGGCACCTCCCTCTGGGTCATCCCTGGCCCCAGCTAACTCTCCCATCTGCCTCTTGATTGAGAACAAAGGTCAGTGACACTCACTGGGGACACCTGCCCTGACCCCTCATGCAGGCAGCCCGTTTACAGGTCCTCACGGGCCTGCCTTCTCCATGGTGTGATAACTACAGCGAATCACTCCTTGAGGACCAAGCCTCTGTCCAGCCATCCGGAGCCTACAGCACAGCGCCACACGCTTCAGGCACTCAATGTGTTTCTACTGAAGCAGTAAATAAACCCACGAATTGTTAATAGCAATATTCAGCTTCATCGTTTCCTTTTTGTTGTTTCTTTTATGAGACAGGAGCTCATCATGCAGACCAGGTTGGCACTGAATTAACTCTGTAGCCCAGGCCGGCATCAGATCACGGCGATCCTCTTGCCTTGGTCTTCTGAGTGCTGAGATTACAGGTGTGTGCAACTGTGCCCATCTCGCCTCATTTCATTTTCAAGCAGAATAATCTCTGACAGAAGGGGAGGTTGGACAAAGACCCAAGGAAGCCTCTTATGGAGGTGCTCATCATACATAACACAGGTTCTGAGGAGTCTTACGAAAAAGAAGTCTGCCTTTCTTCACACAAGCTCCCTGGGCTCTCCAGAACACACCAGCTTCCCCTGCCCTTTCTCTGCAGATCACAGGTTAAGAGCTCATTCTGAGAACTGTGGGGATCACAAGGCTCTCCTGGGAAAAGTGCTCTCCAAGGCCACTGTCACCTATAGGGGAGCCACAGGGGACTGCGGACCATGTGCAGCCCCTACCCATTACCACTACCAGCTGAACGCAGGCTGCTTTTGCTGGTTTTTTTGTTTATTTGTTTGTTTAGTGAGACAGGGTCTCACTATGTAGTTGAAGCTGACCTGCAACCTACATGTAGCCCAGGCTGGTCTCCAACTCACAGGGATCCTCCTGCCTCAGCCTCCAGAGTGCTGGGATTACAGGCGTGTGCCACCACGCCTGGCACTGCTTCCTTTTTATACTGAGGGAGCCAAAGCCCAGAGAGACTATAACTCAGCTAACAGCAGATCTAGGGCTGGCCACTGGGCTCTGAACTTCAGATCATGAAAGAGAATTTGGGCTCCTCCTGATCTGGCAATCATGTGTGTGTTATTTTTTCTTTCCTTTGTTTTATTTTTTCTTTTCCACATGTTACTTTTTATAGTTACACATTTCCTGCCTTAAGGTACATAGGACAACACTGCTTCAGGACCCATTCTGCAATCTTAAGTGGTAGCTGGAGAAAATGTAAGATTTCCTCTACTACAATCCGTATGGGAATAAACTGTCATTATAACAGATAAAAGCTCAAAAGAATTTAAAGTTATTAAGGTAACAGATAATACTTTGCTTTCTGGTATTGAGGAAGGTAACAGCATTTAAAATGGGTCATTTATTCTCTGAGGTGCAAAGATGAAAGTGTCAGATCACTTTGGAAACTATATTCCTTTTCACTGTAAAATGGGATTCCACCTCCTAGACAAGGACCGAGGACAGCAGCTCCCAGCAGCTGGATTTCTGGTTGTTCAAACAGAGAAGAGGCCAGGTCTACCGCACCCCTTCCTCCTGCTTCTGTCTCAAAGTGTCCTCTGATCTTCCAGGCCCGGTGTACGGACCCCTGAACTGAAAAGCCTTCCTGGAGTCCCGCATGGTCATGGCTGCCTCTTGTCTACTCTCTACAAGCAGCTTTCATCACCACGGACCAAGTTCCCGAGTCGACCTGGTGTCTGAGCAGCAGCTGACACGGCGGGCCCCTTTAAAGACAGGCAGGCAAGCAGCTGCTTGCACACTGCAGCCACTGAGGGAGGCAAATCTGAGCTGGTCTGTGCCTCCCGGGGGGCTGTGACGAGGGAGGAGGCAGCGGCGGAAAAGCCAGGCGCACGCGGTCCACAAAGCCCGCTGTGGGAAGAGTCAGCACAGATGACCTTGGCCTTCAAAGGCACCTTTCCAGTAAGAACCTTTGTCTCCACACAACGCCATCGTTTCTCACTTTTTGAAAGGCCTATTCTTTGGCCTTTCGCAGCAGCAAGACCTAGAAATGTTCAGAAAAGCCCCAGCTCTGACAGATTTTTTTTTCTTTAAATAAATCAAAGACAAAGCAGTTGAGTTTAGCTCCTAATGTATAAAAATAACTCATGATGCCACCTCCAAGTTGGGCAAAATTCCTTATCACAAATGTTCACTATATCTACCCGAAGAGGAGATAAAAGCAAAAACCAGAGAACTAAGCAGCTTTCAGAACAGATCGTGGATAAGAAAAAATATTGCCATCAGATTTTTTAAAGGTCTTGCAGCATGATGTATGATAATCTCCTAACAAAGCTATAGAAATTTCTGCCAAGACAAATGTGGAAAAGACAGCAAGAGGGAATTGGTTGACTGTATCACTCACAGTAATCTAAAGGAAGCAACACTCTGTACTCAGTAAGAGAATGTTATAGAAGATTAATATTATTTTGTTTTGTTTTTTGAGGCAGGGTCTTGCTATGTTGCTCAGGATGGCTTCACGCTCTCTATGTGGCCCAGGCTGGCCTTAGAATTCTCCTGCCATAGCCGCCCAAGTGCTGGGGTAACGGGAGTGTGCCACCAAGCCCAGATGAAGATTATTTTATCAACTTTGTTCAATGGGAAAATTACATTATTTGAGATATAATCCCACTTAAATGAAATAGATGTATACTTACAGCGAGTTGTTAATCATAATTATCTGTAGGTAGTAAAGATGAATGTGCCTGTTGTTTTCTTTTTTGCTTGTGATTTTCTGAATTTGGTGTGAACAATACATACCTTTAGAATATCAAAAATACTCTAAAATTCAGCTTCTTTTTAAGACTAGTGAGTACTTCTTACAATTAAGCAATACGTAGTAAGCTCTGCCTGCAGAGGTAGGGCAAAACCAGGCCAAAATGGTAAAACTTACGGGAGGTGGGGCTGGAGGACAGGGTTTCATGTTAACTGTGCCAGGTGCCTTTTGCACAGTGTCATCTTTATCCATCAATCTTCAGTCCAACCCTGGGCTGAGGCCTTCTTACCCTTGCCTCAGAGCTGAGGAACCAAGAGCTCCACAGGCACAGAGGCTGGTCTGGAATGACATGGCCAGCTGGCATCAATAGCACCTAAATCCTGGGTAGTCTGACTGCAAAACCCAGGCTTGGGCTGGGGAGGCAGCTCAGGGAAAGCATTTCCCTAGTACACGTTAAGGCCCTAGCTTTGTGCCTCAGGACCAAAAAAACCGACCAAAAAACCCCTAGGCTTTCTGGGCGTGGTGGCGCACACCTGTAATCCCAGCACTTGGGAGGCTGAGGCAGGAGGATCTCTGTGAACGTGGGCGCACACCTGTAATCCCAGCACTTGGGAGGCTGAGGCAGGAGGATCTCTGTGAGTCTGCGGCCAGCCTGGGCTACACAGTGAGTTCAAGGCCAGCCTGAACGACTCAGCAAGACCCTGTCCCAGACAAAACAAAAGACCAAAAAACTGTGGGCTCTTCCCACTATAGAACACCATTTTATTCCAACATAAGAATTCTGACATTTTATAATTTGGCTTTAACTTCTCAGATCCCATCAGATAAGGCAGTAATACCACTAAACATCTGAAAAAGAGCTGCCATTTCCAAAGTAGCTTTTATACAACAGCATCTTCCAGCAGGACACCTGCTGTACAGCTGTGAAGGTGAAGACTCCGCGCAACAGCTGGCAAGTGGGCGCTGAGCCTCTGTTGGTTGCTTTTCTACTTGCACTGTGGAAGGAACCTAGGGCCTTGCACATGCACGGCAAGCACTTTAGCACTGAGCTACATCCCCCACAGCCCCATGTTTCTTGCTTTTGTCTCTAACAACGCTGTCCAACACTGATCCCTAGGCCGGCTGCTTTTCACCACCTAGGGAATGCACTAAGACAAAAGTCTTGGACTCACCCAGGCTGACTGAATGAGAGCTCCAAGGGCAAGGCCTGCGAACGGCACAGCACGGCACAGCACGGCACATTGATTAGGCTCAGTGATGCTGACACTGAGGGGCAGGTCAGAGGAGGCGGGCTCTGCTCTCCTAGTCACCCAGGACCCTGACATTTCCCTGTGGCTCGGCAGACAGGTGAGCCAATCACCTGGGGGACAAAGCCGCTGGACAGGAAGCTGCGCTGCGTGGAACGTCTGACCTTTCGTCCCAGGGCCCTCTGTTCTATCACGCCCCACACTTACTTGGTCAGGACAATGGAGACTGCATCGTTGAGAATACTTTCTCCAAAGACCAGCATGTTAAGCACAGGGTCCACGTGCAGTGCATTGAAAATAGCGATAGTGGCCACTGGGTCGACGGCAGATATCAGGGAGCCAAAGGCGAAACTGGAAGAAGAGAGAAGCGAGGGCAGGTCCTGTAAGGCGCATCACTCGGTGCACACAGCAAAGCGTCAGCCAACCACGATTCACACAACACAAAGGCATGCGCTACAGAAGACAGGCATTTTCCCTACCTATCTGCTGATGGGCACTCTGGGTCGGGCAGGAGAAGCCACCCTGAAGAAGGGCTAGGGGTGGCCGGTTTCCACCTGCCAGCACTGACACTTGATCCTGCCCAGTGATACAGGAGGCTTCTGTTCAAACACATGGCACACTGCCCGGCCCTGCTCATCAGAGTAGCCACGGTTCTCCACATTCAGCATCCAGCCCCTCTGATGGGCAACATCTGAGAGAGTGCCAGCAGCCACCCAGTTCCAGATGTACAGTCTGGGCAGCAGATACCGTGAGCTCCCACCCAGGCCTGCGTCTCACAGGTGGTACCCAGCACAGTGGTGTCAGCTCCAGCACACATCCACCAACCGCCTCCTCTTCACAGCAGAAACTTCTGTGGCCCCCAACATACCCCAGGCCCTGCCCTAGCCTCTTCCACACTGCGGGCACCGAGCCAGCACTGCTGCTGACAGAGGACTGACGTGCAAGAGGCAGAACAGTGCAGAGGGGACTCAGACACTCACAGCCGGGCAGTCACCAGGGTGGGTGCGGCAACACAGAAACTAAGCCAAATTTAGAAAACAGCGAGTGTGGCCCAGGAAGTAAACAGGGTGCCATGTAGAAGAGTGGCCCAGCAGAGGGAGAGGTGTGGGAGCCTATTTAACGGGGTCAGGGAAGGCCTTTCTGAAGAGATGACTTATTTGAACAAAAAGCTCCATGACAAGAAGCAGTGGCCAAGATGTCTGGGGACAGAGGTAAGAACGCGTGTACCCCCGAATCTGGGAGCAAGCTTGGCCGCCTGTGAAACAAAATGAAGGTCCTGGTGGTGATGGGGTGGCAGGAGACCATGGAGGCCTGTGACGGAGGCAGGCCTAGGTCCCCCATGATACCTCAGGGGCCACAGGAAGTCTGGATGGCTTCTCCCTTGGAGCTGTGGACTCCCCTAGTGTACTCCCGCCTAGTGCGGCCTTCTAGTCCTCAACCACTGTGAGCGCCCGTCGCTAGGAGCAGAAGGCCTAGCTAGGCCTGTCCCCCTTCTCCATGTGGGACACAATATGTAGCCTGACGGTGCAATGCTACCTGAGAGTCACCGCCCACAGACGATCACCAAGCGTGGGGTCTGCAAGCGCAGAGTGACACTGGGCGTGGGGCACTGAGCAGCCTTGGCAGAGGGTGCTGACGGCAGCACACGCCCGGCTGCCTTGCTGATTACACACCCCTTCCTTCATTAGCTGCTTCCTTGGCCTTGAGAGTGCTGACACTGCCTGTGAGTGTGATGAGCGGAAGTCCGCCCAGAAGGGCCTCTGGATCCCAGATGTGGGCCAGACACACACCTCGCCGTCCTCACAGGGGTGGCCACATGCACGGCCTCCTCACGGTGTGCTGGCAGCGCTGAGCACAGCCCACAGATACAGTGGAAGGGAAGAGGAGGGTGGGGAGGAGACACACAGGAGAGGCAGCTCCTCCCGACGCGGCAGCTGGTCTAGGGCCTCACTGCAATGCAGACAGTCTGTCCTCCCTCCTCTCACTCTCACCCCCCATCACTCACCGAACCACGTGAGGGAGAGGGAAGGGGTCAGCTAACAGCCGGAAGGAACTGGAAGCCACGATGGGCTGTGTTGAGCTGACCAAGTATGGCTCGGCGGGCCTCTCCCTCTGTTTACAAGGAGAGCGCACACAGCAGGGTGGAAAGCCACGGTTCTCCCTGCTCAGCACCCACACCCCTTGGTCTTCGTAAGAGAACCCCATCTTCTTTGGGGGAGCCATACTTTTACTCTGTCCTTGCAGTCATGTGGGGCCCAACCTTGGACACTAAGGGTATCACCAGCGTTTTACCAGGTCACCAGGAAGAGGCTGGCCCTCTGGAGGGGCGCCTGAGGGGAGGCTGCGAGCCTGGGCCAGCAGCACTGCCACAAGGGGACCATGTGCGAGGAGGAGGCCAGTCGGGGAGACTGAGGTGATACCACTAAGAGGAGCTTCCCAATACTGCAGGCGCTTGTAGAGTGTCATAGCAGAAGCCATCACCCTGGTGACACTTCAGTCCTGCAAGCCAACAAATTTCCCTTCTATACTTAAGCTCCTCTGTGTCAAGTCTGAGCTGCACTGCAAGCAGCCTGACTGAGGTATTGCATCAGCGTCACTGTGGGAGCCACAAGAAAACTGAGGAACGGACAGAGGGAAAGCAGGCAGCAAAGCTCGGTGACGGTGATGTTCAGGAGGTGGCTGGGTGGGTGCTCCCTGTGCAGCCTCACTTTTCTGTCTTTGAAACTTCCAGTAATAAAAAGCTGAGGAAAATGCTCTGCATAAGTCATACAACACATTCAGCTCTGGCTGGGCCTCTAAACCAGGCAGAGTGATTGTGAGAGTCAATCGGCAAGGCCCGAAACATGCAGCCTGAGTCTCCCAGAAGCCTGTGTCTCAGGGTCCTTTGGCCTGGGCAGCGACCAAAGCCTGAAGTGACAAGTGATAATTTAAAATGTACTTTCTTTATCGTCACCTCAAAAATTAGCAACATCAACAAAATGAGAAGGATACTGACTGCACTAGTGAAATAACCCAGTTGTTCGCGGTAAAATCTATCTCCAGGAGGAAATCGCTAAAATCAAAACGGTGCCACGAGGTCATTTTTGTGTTTTCCACAATGCAGAGGCTGTAATAAGTGCTCTGTGTGCCTCAGCGTCAGCCTGTGTGGTGTTTCTGAACAGTGGCCTAATTTGCTGACATTTAAAAATGCGAACAGATTCCCTGGCAACATCCAGAAACCTGGCCTCTTAAAAAAAACTTTTGTTTAAACAAGACAGGGTGTGGCTCAGTGGCTTGCACAAGGCCCTGGGTTCCATCCTCAGAATCACACACACACACACACACACACACACACACACACCCCACAATCGTTACAACACAATGAATTGTAGGCAGGCTGCCACGTGTCTATCAAGAGGAAGGGCTGAGGAGAACTGTCCCCTTTGGGCATAGGCGCTCTGCACAGCATGGGTCTGCGAGCTGGGACAGTCTCTTCCTGTCAGCATGGGAGCGCCCACCCATGGCCGGCCCTCGCCCAGCTCGTCCACAGGGCAATCTCTGCTCCTTCCACCCAACCACTGCTTCAATTCCATCCCACAAACAAGTGTCCAGCACCACCTATGTCTCTGGCCCGGTGCTCCAGCCCAAATGGGGCAAAGGTCTGAGTGCTGTGACACCTTCCTTCATGTCAACAGGGATTGGGACATTTCCTCTCACTTGCAAAATACCTATGAAACAGGCAGCATCAGTTCTGCTTTATTCCCAGCTCCTGTGAAACAGGAATGAGACTGGACATTTGCTTATATACAGAACCATTTTCTTTCTTCTTTTTTTTGTAGTTGTCTGTGAATTGTGCTTATTTCGTTTCCAAAATTTTTTCTTACAAGAGTTCCAAATTCAAGTTCTTGGGTGGGGCTGAGGGAAGTAGGTAGAAATGGAATGGGACTTTGTTATCAGAAATATATTTCTTTTTCTTTCTTTCTTTTTGAGACAGGGTCTCACTCTATAATTCAGACTGGCCTTGAACTCACTATGTAGCCCAGGCTGGCCTTGAACTCCTGGCAATCCTCCTTCCTCAGCCTCCGGAGTGCTGCACGCCACCTCAAGAAAAGAGTTCTAAGATTCTAGTTCTAAGGAGCCAGGTCGTGCTAGACTCTAAGTTCTGGCTGCCCCCAGGAAGGGTGCCTGTGACTGCCCCCCCACACGCACGCACGCACGCACGCACGCTCCGCTCCAGCCTGCCAAGAGGGGGAGGACCCAAGATAAGGGAGGCTGCATGCTGCTGGGACTTTGCAGGGGTGAACGGGCTGCACATGGCCTGCACACTTGTTCGGCACTAGATCCAGTACTTTCTGAGACACAGTCGCCTCAGCTGCCTTCTTTTGGGGGAGGTTTAGAAGGTCTCATTATATGGCCAGATTGACCTAAGTAACTGGGATTGGCCAGGCACCGTGACACCCACCCATAATCCCAGCCATTGGGAGGCTGAGGAAGGGGGATCACGAGTTTGAGGGCAGCCTGGGCTACATCGTGAGACCTTGTCTCAAGAAATTTTAAAAAAGCCAAAGTAACTAGGATTAAAAGCCAGGCTATCATGTCCCCTAGATTGCTTCTTTTGAAATACATTAAGCAAATTCCCCGGCCAGGTGAGATGGCACACACACCAATAATCCCAGCTTCTCGGGAGGCCAAGGTGGGAGAGTCACAAATTAGAGGCCTTTCACTACAGCTATAGAAAACACTTGGATATCAGCTGAAGATGATTTTTTTCTTTTTTTTGAGATAGGAAATCGCTATATATTTCAGGCTAGCCCTGAACTCACTATGTAGCCCGAGTTGACTTCAAACTTGAGACGATCCTCCTCCCTCAGCGTCTTGAGTGCTGGAAGTACAGGTGTGCACCACTACAGCCAGCCAAGGACAATTCTTAATAATAATAAAAGGACAGTGCTGCACTGTATTGTGTATATGGGTGGCCAGTTCTTTGGCCAGAGCTACTCCCTCTAAAGCTTAAATTAAATTTTAATCAGCAATGCTTAGACTAGGAATCTTCAAAGGCCTTCAATATAATTTTGATTCATTTTAGAGCTAAAAATTAATTCAGAATAGATACTACAGTGGGTATCATTAGCAAGGGGGGAGACAGAGTAAACAAAGAAGTACCACACCCAGGAAACAATGTGGAGAAATTTCCCCAGCCTGTATAGCAGTTGCATGGGTGCTGCAGTATAAAGGATTTACCTGTCTGTCATGTTGAGTTTAGAGATTACATCAGCCTGTAAAATAAAACACACAGACACACAGACACAAAAAAAACCCCTGGAGAGCAGTCAAGAAGATTAAAATGTCCATCAGTGCTTTATTACCAATAAGGACATTAACCTTCAGCCCCCAAACCACTTTAAAAATAAAACGCCTAAGTTTTGGTTTAAGCATGCATTCAATCATCATACAACAAAAGCAGGAAGCACTTTCCCAGCCCAATTAACTGTAGTTTTCTTCTCTAAAGTTTATTCCTCTGATACGAGAAGCTGAGCAATGAAGAAAATTTTGTAGAAACACATTTCTTCTGGTGCCATCAAGGCAGCAATAAAAGTGAAACTCAGATGGAAGGGGCTCCCAGCTATTAAGAGGAGAAAACAGCTAAGAGCAACCTGCTGGCCACTCAGGCTTTGCCTAAACCTCTACTTTCAGCACTGGGGGTGGCAAGCTGCAAGAGACAAACCAGGAAGTGGCACATGCGGGGACACACGCGGTGCAGATCTGCAAGTACCGCTTCCTAGGTGTGCTTGACCTACATTAATGCAGATTTAATTGGAGCTCAAAGTGTAGAACACTCAACCAATGCATGCCACTGCAGAGGGGTCAGTAACGTGGAAGATTCAGAGTATATAACTCTCTAGGTGGAGGGCTTAGAATCGAGTGAACAGACTCAGAATCATCTTTGATTTAAAATGCAAACTTTTATTTAAAAACAACAATTAACCCTGATTCCATCTGAAAACCATGATAGTATATAATCTGCTATATTTTTAGGCATTCCAATTCAGGACAGTATTGATCTGCCTATAAAATTGAATGTTTGGGGGTTTTTGGAAAAGACTCACTCAATTCCAGACACCACACTGGGGGAGCCTTAAAACATTCTCACATGCTTCTGCTGTGCCTCCTGCGCTGGGGAGCCCTTCCAGGAAGGCACTGGGAAACTGCAAACTCAGGCCCAGGAGGGGGCCCCACCCCGCTCCCTGCAGAGCTCTCAGAACGTGAGATCATCGAAGTTTTTCAAAGATGTTTTTCTTACCTGGCCCAGAAAATAAATTCCGCCACCTACTACAAAAGCGGAGATTGCAGTACCAAACACAGCAAACAAGGCGATAGAACCAATATTCTGAAAGAAGTTACCCTGTTTAAAAGAGCAGAGAAATGATCACAGATGCCAGCCCGCTAGCGGAGTCCTGACCCACACCCAGCCCTCCTAACTGTCCCGACTCTCAGCGAGGACACCAAGGTCCGCCGGTGTGGCCAGCTAGGAACCCAAGTCTTCCTTCACCCCACACCTCCTGCCGGGTCCCAGAGTCACGCACGTCTCCCCAGACCACTGCAACAGCACCTCACAAATCCCAGCGCACCCCTGGCCCCTCCACCTCTCCCGCGCTTCCACAATGATTCTCGCAAAAGACAAATCTGAAGATGCTGCCTTCTCTCCAACCCCCACTCCCACTTGAAATGCAGCTAAATGTGGACCCGGACGGCTCGGGCCCTGCAAGGCCTCAGCACTCTTCCGGCAGCACGCCGGCCCTTGTTTGTTGGGTTCTTTCTTCTTTTCGGGAAATTTCAGCATGCTGTGACAAGACCCTTCCAAGCTTCCTGCGGGAGGCCATCCTGGGGCCCCACTCCCAGTGGCACCAGAAATGGCTCAGTTACCTACGTAACTGTCTGACTAACATCTGTCTTACAAGTTTTTTGGTACCGGGGACTGAACTCAGGACCTGGTGCCTGCCAGGCAGGCACAGCAGCACTATAGACACGGCCTAACGTCTGTCTCTCTCATAAGGGTGCAGGCTCCATGGGGCAAAGATATCAGCTTTTATACAACAAAGTTACCGACACGATGCCTGTCACAAGGAAATTCCTTTCTACAGAAGGAATCAACTGAGTTTCAAATATGATCAAGGCCTAAAATCTACAGTTATAATTTTTCATTTAATTAAAGGTGATTATAAAGAATATCAAGATAACAGGTTATACCATCAGAAACTTTTCTGCCATCCATGTCTTTTAAATATTTCATCTCACTCTATTAGTATCATTATCTATTTTTTTTTTTTTTTTTAGACAGGTTTTTACTACATAGTTGAGGCTGGCCTTGAACTACGTAGCTCATACTGGTCTAAAATTCAGTGATCCTCCTGCCTTGCCCTCCCGAGTGTTGGGATTCCAAGTGTGTGCCACAATGCCCACCTCATCACCAAATTTGACAGATAAAATGTGTGTCTATCTATCCTTCACAATATTTAAAAGAAAATATTCAAGTCCAAATAGCATAGCAACATCTTCCAAACTTTGGTCTACAGGACTAGCTGGGCATATAATCATAGCACCCTGGGAGGACAAGGCAGGAAGCCCAAAATTGAAATCCGATTTGGGCAACTCAGTGACTTAGCAAGAACCTGTCTCAAAAAGGGGCAGGGGGCTGGGGATTTAGCTCAGTGGTTCTGGTCCCTGCCTCACAAGCACAAGGGCCTGAGTTCAATCCCCAGTAACAACCAAAAAAAAAAATTTAAAAAGGGGCAGGGATACAGTTCAGTGGTGCTGAGCCTGCCTAGCAAGCATGAGGTCCTGAGTTCAATGCCAAATACCAAATTAAATTAATAAATAAAAATAGAAAGGACTGGGGATGTAACTCAATGTAAAGGCCCTGAGTTCATTCCTTAGTATTGCTTTAAAAACCTGTAAGATTAAGGAAATGAGGCTATTAGAATCCTGCAGTCTCAGGACCACCATGGGATTTTGATGACCCTTGACTGTTGGTATGGACAAGAATCCCATCTTTGCCCAGAACCATGGAGCCATGAACAGCAGGAACTGCTACGTCCAAGCTCATTTCAAGAGTCCTCTCAGCTCCATGCTGACAACCCCTAAACGTCCTCTGCAGGAAGTGGCTTTGCAGTTCTGATTTGGCTACCCATCATCTGATGATCTCTCACTTGATTCCTATGTTTGGCATATCGATTTCTAGCACACAAAAAATTTTTAAATCATTGTTTTGCTTTATCTCTACAAAGGGGTTTTCATCTATGAGCTTTTCTTTGCATATAGCTGCTTTCTTTTTTAAATTTTAAAATAGATTAGGCCAGGGCCAGGGATTTAGCTCAGTGGCACTATACCTGCCTCACAAGTGCAAGGCCCCAAGTTCGATCCCTGGTACAAAAAAAAAAAGATTAGGCCAGGTGTAGTGGCACACAGCTGTAATCCCAGTACTTGGGAGGAGGCTAAGGAAGGAAGAGCACCATGAGTTCAAGGTCAGTTTGGACTACACTGTGAGATCAAGGCCAGGCTTAGCTACAGACCCTGTCTCAAGAAAAAAAGGAAAAAAAAAAAAAAAAAAAGATGAGACTAATTGGTCTTGCTCTATTTACAAAGATTCTGATTCTGATATGATTTATGTAGTTGGTTAATATTAATTTAGATACAGAAAATTTATCCAAATTCAAGTTACTCTACTAAAAGAACTGCTACCTACAGCAAATTTATCTGTTTCTAACATCCTATTTTTTACATGATATTTCTAATTTAAAGAATCAGTAGCTGCCTACTTAGCATATACCAACTGATGATAATCTCACTGAACTGTGTATTCTAAGTTGAAATTTACATTAGCAAACACAGTAATATTAAAATAAAATGCTCAGCTGGGGATTTAGCTCAGTGGTTCCAACATCTGCCTCTCACAAGCGCAAGATCCCAAGTTTGATCCCCGATACCAAAATAATAAAATAAAATAAAACGATCCAAGTCAACTTCCTGTCTTCTTTGCGGGGAGGGAAAGCGTGGACAAATGCCTCTGAATTAGGATTTCTAACTCCTATCAGTCCCTTTCACATCAAGTATCACATTTTTCTGCTGAAAAGTCATCTTCAAAGAAATATTTTTTTTAAGAAACTATTATTTTAAACCAGATGTGGTGGCGCTTGCCTGTAATCCCAGCACTTGGGAGGCTAAGGCAGGAAGATTGCTGTGAGTTCGAGACCAGCCTGGATTACATAGTGAGTGCCAGGTCAGTCTCAGCTATATAGTAAGACCCTGTCTCAAAACAAAAAACAAACAAACAAACAAAAAACACTATTATTTTCCTCCAAGTTTCCAGCAAGTTTATTGTTGTTTCAAAAAAATTAGGCCTAGGGGCCAGGTATTTAGCTCAGTGGTGCCAACACCCGCCTTGCAACTGCAAGGTCCTGAGTTCTTTCCCAGTTACAAAAAAAAAAAAAAAAAAAAAAAAAAAATCAAAATAATTAGGCCAGGCTGGTGGTGCATAGCTGTAATCCCAAGTGCACCACCACACCCAGCAGTAAATTCTCATTATGACTCCCTACAGTAATACCAACACTAGGTAATAACATTACTGTTAGCGATAGCAAGAGGAAGAAGCGCTCCGTTTATTTAGTGTGATGAGCAAGGCTTTGCTTCCATTCTTCTATCTAGCATAGATCTCAAAGCAATGTTGCAAGCAGGATTCTGGGCAGCTTTCTGAGGTTTTGTTTTAATTTTCAACCTAACACGGAGCCTGTAGGGGGCAGTGCATGATCAGACCTGCAAGTCTGGGTCCAAAGTCCTCTCGGGCTCTTTCCTCCTCCATTCAAGAGTTGGTCCAGTCTTAGTTCTTCCAAGTTTCACCATTTTTTATGACATTCACAAAACACCTACTGTGTTATTACTTTAAACTGAATCAATTTATTTAAAAACTCAAATGCACTGATATTGAAAGATTAACATTGGAGAAAAAAGAATCCTTGGTACAGACATCAACAGGTGGGAAAGGAAAGCGCCACGGTGGGAGTCCGAGGACAGTCGGTGTTGCCAGCTGGGAGCTGGGAGGCAGCTGGGCAGAGCAGTGACGGGACAGGTTACCGGGCCAGGGACCACAACATGACGGGAAGGATGGGCAGGATCTGACTCCAGCTGGCAAGGGGAAGGTGGGCCAGGGAGAGCAGGGAGAGATGGGGGCTGAGGGGTAGCGATGACGATCAACTGTGAGGTAAAGCCCAGGACAGGGCACACAGAGAGGACACAAGAAGGAAACACTTAAGGAGAGGCCTCAAGTGGGAGCTGAGAGAAGCAAATGCCTGGGCACGTGCTCCTGTTCTCGCAGGACAAAGTCTATTCTCTTACAAGTGTGAGTCCGTGTCCAACAAGAGAAGTCAGTGTGTCATCTGTGTGCCAAGTAAAATCACACTGGCGATCTTCCCTGGCAAAATATCGTTCTGCCCAAGGACTGGCTCAACAAGCCACACAGCCTGAAGCCATAACAGCAGCTAACAGATCTGTCTGCTCCTCTCCAGAAGTGGGGCACTGCATCTAGTTTCCACAGTGTGTGCCCAGGAAGGAACAGAGAGTTGATAAATTAACGCCTGAGCTCTTAAAAACTTGCCTCGCAGACATGAAAAGCCATCCAGACCAAAAGCAAAGATGCGCCCAAGTCTTACCTTGTGCAAAGAATATCCAGACTCAAAGATAATAGGTGGAAGCAAGAGGAGGAAAAACATATTTGGACGAAACATTTCTTCTTCCTGTAAATATAAAGTGGGTATTTTCAGAGACATGAGTTCATGCTCAAAGAAATCAGTCAACAAAGAGTTGAAATAGTTCTGAGAGGAAATGATGTGTAAAGGACTACCTGATAATAAAACCAAGCAAAATGAGAGACCAGAAGTTCAACTCATTCTAAGAGGTAAGATCAGAGATTTTTTTAAAGGGTAACCAGCAAAAGAAGCAGTACAATGAACCACTTCCAAGCATAAAGGGTATACTTTGAAAGGAAAGAAAATCAATACAGAAAATTTTAATTAGGATGCAACACATGTAATCTTTTTGTTTTGCTTTGTTTTGGATAGCGGAATTCAAACTCGGAGCCTTGCACTTGCCAGGTAGGTGCTGTACTGCTAAGCTACACCCCCAGTTCCCCACCCCCACCCCTGGCCATCACAATCTTGACTGTTGGATTTCTTGTCAAAACCCATATTCAAAAGAACGACTAAATATATTCTTACACATGTACAGCTGTTACCCTAAAGTCTAAAATACCATTCAAAAAAGACTCAAAATAGAAGCGAATGATGACTTCTGAAAATGCCCTATTAAGTCTTAAAATAACAGCATTACAACATGCTCATGACTCAGCCTGGGCCTATAGGAAAAGGAATGGGCTGAACGCTGCATTTTACGGGTGGCCTCCTCTCAGAACTGTGCAGTCTGACCCCCAGGCAGATCCTTCTGGAGAAACGAAACCCCCGGGAAAAGGAGAAGCCATCTGCAGTAGGGTGCATGCCCCTCGTCCTGTCCCCCGGGAGGTTTCTCTCTACAATGACTTAACGGGGAAATAGGGTCTTTTCAGGGTGAGGGTCAGATCCGGTAAGGAAAGGATGGAGATGAGAGCACACCAGATTGGGGTCCTAAACCCAAGAAAGTGAACTTGTAAGAGACAGAAAAGGGCACAGGGCCATGAAGAAGGCTACGTGAAGGGAGGGACAGAGATGGGAGCCAGAGATAGGACAGATACGCTTATCCTCAGCTGTCAGAGTGGAGGTGGAGCAATAATGTTTAATGTTAACCCCCCATGTAAATGACTCTAGGATTATAAAATGCTACGCTGTCATAAATTAGGGAACTCCAGGGCCACGAGGAGGATTCTATGGCCCTCCCACACCTTTATTTTCAACTTCTGGCCTCCAGACTGAAAGGGGACAAAGCTATTTGTTGCTGTTGTTTTGTTTCACTTTGTAGTTCAGACTGGCCTCCAATTCATGACAATCTTCCTGTCTCAGCCTCTCTAGTGCTGGGATTATAGGCGTGTATCACTGAGACCTGCTCAAAAATCTGGTTTTAAGCCCCCAAGTCTTTGATCCCTAACTGCCACAGTACCCTTAGTTAAGGGATACACCACCCTGATCAATGATTTTTTTTTTTTTTTTTT